AGGAAAAAATCAGCTACTGCTGCTCTCCTCCCTACTGCAAAACAACAGGTTAAGTGAAGACGTGAAAAGTTATGATAACCAGAGGAGGTATGCACTCTTCAACAACAGAATCTGCGTGAAACTAAGGATTAACAGGAATTGTTACCATGAAAAAATAAGTTTGCTCACACACTCATAGAATCAACGGATAATTTGGGTGTGAAGCAACCTCAGGCAGTCACTAGCACACACCAGGCTGCACAGGGCTGTGTCCTGTGAGATCTGGAAAGGCCCTGAGGGCAGAGACTGCATCACCTCTCCAGCAGGCTCTTTCCGCCAAAGTTTCTGCAGAATCCTATCCAAGAACTGCGCTGGAAGCGTTCATCTGAAGATTTGAGGTACTTTATTTCTCTGACATGTTTTCTAAGTCACAGAAGCTGCTTTGCAGTGTACCTTACGAACACCAGCTCACACAGGAATGCAGAACCCTTGCAGGAATGTGCCTGATCGATCCCATCACCAGCAATAACAATTAATTACAAAGGAAAACCAGACTGTCACCAGCTCCGTTTTACCAGCCACCTAAGGCTGTGACACCACCTAACGCAGACAGGCAGACCTTAAGCATCACCGCCTTCAAAAAACCATTTTCACTTGTTAATATAAATTAGCCTTGATTTTAGATGCTCAGCCTGTGTCCATCATATTGAGAATCTATTATAAAATTTATAAACTGCAAAAAGTCTTTCAAGTATCTGAACAATATAAGGAAAACTTAAAAGTTACACTTCAGCCACTTTTAACAAAGAGTATCATATCTAGATTAGGAAGTTGGAATAATGTCAAATGGCCATTTGTTGCTAAGCTACTCGTGCAAAGCAAGTTATGAGTAATAACGGGTCTATTCAAATCTTCAAAGGAAATCAGAGGCTTTTAGAAGTATGACAATTCATCCTAAATTACATCTTATAAATCCTAAAAGTGCCTGAAGTTTGCAGAGCCTATCTCGGGGGAAGCAAGTAACTCTGCTCTTCTCACCAGGAAGTCCAGTTTGGAACTTGCAAACGAGTGTCCACTACAGATGCCAAATGATGACTGCTCTCAACCACACACTTGGATGTGATCTGGATTTCAATTGTTGGCAAAAAGATGCTTAAATAGGTAATTTCCCAGTTGGAAATGTAGAATGCCATGCTGAAACAGGGCCTTCTGAAGTGGTGCAGAAGGAATCATCGTATGGATATCACCCCTGACAAGGTTCAGAGCAATGAAGACTAAGTGGAATCGAAACCTCTGGGGACTAGTCCCCTTTTCCCAAACCACACAGCTCAAAAAGCCACATTACAGACCCATTTGCAAGAGAATAATGAGAGAGGGGAAATGCATCAGCATTTTATGAGATGGTGAGTTCATAAACAATAGTTTTTCTGAAAATTCCCATTCAAATTGTGATTTAATGTGCAGATTTTGTGGGCGTAGCTTCCACAGATCTGCACGGTGGGTTTATGATTTAGTTTAGTTTGGTTTGGTTTGGTTTTTAAAACTGCAAAATCAGGATGCAGCAGTCTGATGTAAAAGGCAGAAGATGCATTTCCAAAATACAGGTTGACAGGCTGAGAGAGTTGGGCTTGTTCAGCCTGGAGAAGAGAAGGCTCCGGGGAGACCTTATTGCCCCTTCCAGTACCTGAAGGGGCTACAAGGAAGCTGGGGGGGACTTTTTACAAGGGCCTGTAGTGACAGGACAAGGGGTAATGGGTTTAAATTGGAAGTGGGGAGGTTTAGATTGGATATCAGGAAGAAGTTCTTCACAGAGAGGATGGGGAGGCACTGGAACAGGTTGCCCAGAGCAGCTGTGGATGCCCCATCCCTGGATGTCTTCAAGGCCAGGTTGGATGAGGCTTTGAGCACCCTGGTCTAGTGGAAGGTGTCCCTGCCCATGGCAGGGGGGGTGGAACTAGATGGTCTTTAAGGTCCCTTCCAACCCAAACCATTTCATGATTCTATGAAAATATTGTTAATATACCTTCTCACAAGGGAGAAAAAGAAACTTTTTCCACTGCATGCAGCGTGAGCCACTGATGTTAAGAGGTCACCAACACACGATGTTTGACTGCCTTTTATACTAAAGGTTGGTGTTGCACAGTTTTGTAACACAGGAATTTTTCTATAAAAGCAGCTAAGGGTTAGTATAAAAGACACATGGAAGTTTCTGTGGCTTCTCTCAAAGATCAATATTGCTCAGAAAAAAATAAAAATGCATTGGACGAGACCACAGAGCAAATTTTTCCACGCTACAATGTAAAGAATCTCCTCTAGAAGAGTCAAACAACTGATGCAGTAAAATAAACTGTGTAAACAAAACATTAGAATGGTGGGTTTTTTTGTTGTTCAATGAAGATCTACTGAGTGATTGCATCTTTCAAATTCCTTATATGTACTGGGTTGTTTTATTACAGATGCTTTCCTATAAACAATTCTCTCTTAATGAACATACGAACATCTCCTTGAGCAGCAGCAGAGAAATGATCAACTACACCCCTTCACACTGGCTCCTCTAACCTTGTTTTAATCACTCTGAATATGTTAAGTATTCCAGAACCAGAACTGATATATTTGCAAATTGGATTTTCCTATAAACAACTGTCTTCCTCACGTTTACTAAAGGCAACAAAACCCAAGAAGCTGTTTTTAAAAAGACAACCAGCAAATGACAGTTACAATTTATCATCCCTTTTCACTACCAGCAGCATGCAGCAGCTGGCTGTAAAGCAGCCTCACTAATGGCTCACAATTGGGATTTCAATCTGTAGGTCTTCAACAACAAGCTGCAATTATAAACACTGTATTAACTATTGTATTTTTCATGTTTCTCATGTGTGGACAAACTTCCTTATTTTATGCATACTCCCTTGGCAGACTTAATATACCATACTCAAGTATTTACTTCTTCAAGCTACTGTTTTAATTACACAAAATATGTTTCTACAGTTGTAAACATAAATTACATGAAGAGTAACATAACAAATTACATGAAGAGTTTACCCAAGAATGTGCTCCAAACTGTTTTTACTGTTTTAATTACACAAAATATGTATCTACAGTTGTAAACATAACAAATTACATGAAGAGTTAAGAACGTGCTCCAAACTGTTTCGCCCTGACAACACAGTAATTAAGCCAATGCCTTTTGATAAATGTTTCAAATTTCTTTTCAGAAAACTGAGTGTTTCTTGGTGAATTACCATCCAGAGGGTCACCTCAAGAGAGTGTTTATCTGACATTAACCAGGTAACAGGAGAATATACTTCTGATGTCATCTTCTGCTTTTAGTCCTAGGAAAACGTAGCCCTGGTAATAGACTCCTCTCTTCCCTATGGACACATGCAGCCCAAGATCCAGGAAGTTTACTCAAACCCCATGAAGATCTGACCTGGAAGAACAACCACGCCTCTACACTCAACGCCCTTGCAAGACCAACATGACAACTACCAATTTGGTTGGCTTCCTATTTAAGGTATTTAAGATCCTAAATTCCTCATGACACCGAACACAACTGATCGCGTCATGGCGTTCCTTGCTCCAGGATGACAGTCCTAAAGTTCTTCCTTCAAGCTGCAACCGAGAACAGCAATTACCCAGAGTACATCAGACTGGAAACAAACTTTCAGAAGCCAAAGGGGATGCTCATGAATGGCAGAATTCACAAGCTTCTAGACCTGCTCGGAAGTGGTTCCACATCCACGACCACCACCTGCACTGCATAAAGCCTTAGAGAAGTCATCATCTGTTGACGGATATGGTCTATATCCTTAGCAAAGACAAAGACATTGATGTACTGTGTCACAAGAGCTACTTGTGACTGAAGAGACGACCGCTCAGTTTAGCAGAGCCAGTCACTCTCAGATAGCAATTTAACCTTTTTAAAGGGTATTATAGGGTATTTTAAAGGGTATTATTAAAACATTTTCCATAAATGCTGAGATACTACTCCCACAATCACAAGTCTGGCTTCTTAGGAGGAAGAAATACCAATTCAATGCAACAGGAGAATGCCAACAGTACTAGATGTCATACGAAACCATGCCTACACATATTACTGACAACACCCAGAAGGGGGTAGCTGCTTTGCTGCTTTTTTCTCTCCAAACTATTAAACAGCAGATTACTGCCTCTTAGAATCACAGAACGGTTCACGTTGGGAGAGGCCTTAAAGACCATCTAGTCCCAACCCCCCTGCCATGGGCAGAGACACCTTCCACTAGACCAGGTTGCTCAAAGCCTCATCCAGCCTGGCCTTGAACACTTCCAGGGATGGGGCATCCACAGCTTCTCTGGGCAACCTAATAATGGAGTAAAAAAACCGCACCGATTCAAATAACCTCATTTAATACTACTGCAGCCTGTCAAATATTTTTAGGTACTTCTATGGTCCTTACCCTGGTATCTGCAGGCCATAAGCTGTTGTGTTCTTACCCTCTGAGTGTCTCCTGACAAGGGATGCCCGGTATCAGTGAGGTCACACAAAGTTTTGTGGGAGACCAAGACTCTCCACCTGTGTTCCAAGTTCTCGACGTGTGTCCTAAGCTTGTGCAAACCTTTCTGCATGACAGCATAAACTGAAAATACAAATAATTTATAAAAATGCATAACATAATGTAAAATTCATAATTTTTATTATTTCATGTAAATTTTGCATTTTACCAAAGGTAATTTTATTCTGTTTACAAAGCCAAAAAACGTATCTGGATAACCTGCAAGTCAAATAGAGATTATCAGATGAAAAAGAGCATTTTCCAATGACCAGTTACCTGAGTTACAGTGCAATATTTAATTTCAGACAGTATTGCTTTTAAGACGTTTTACAGTAAGAAATAATAAGCTTTTTCAACTCAAACCCTAAATCAGTGCTTGTCATAAGTTTAAGAATCCTTGTGAAGTAATAACATGAAATAGCTTACATAATGGGGCAAGCAACATTTTTGCTTGCATCAACAATAAATTAATAACCTGGATGACTTAAGTATTAGCAAAAATATTTACAAAACCAAGGTAAAACACAGTATAAAATTTTTTCAAATATATATTTTTTCCAAGAAACAGATTGGTACCAAGAGTGAAACTGAATTCAAGTCTTACAAAATTCTCACTTATTTAAATTCATGAAGGTAAATAAATAAGATTGAATTATACAAACAAACATTGATATCCTCATATGGGTTTATGCAGTAAAAGCATGTATCTCCTCTTGAGAGTATCCAAGATCCTTCAGACATCTGAAAGTCAGAAATCAAGTAGGTACATATTAATGCTTGGAACCACAACCCCAACACAGACACAGCAGAAGCATAACTTCAGCACCATTACCTTCAAAAAAACCCAATTGAGCTAATTGCTTGCAATCGAAGACTAACTGCTTTGAGTTTTATTTTCTGTAACTTAATTTATCAAGCTAACAACACAGAAAGCTCATTTCCTATTACAGCAACTTTTCTACCAACATCAGGTAAAAGCACCATTTAAAACCTTGGGGAAAAAACCAGTAATTTTAAAAAAGATGCTCTTAGAAAGTTTTGGACAACTTGGAGCTCATGAAATTTACATATTACTGATATTTACTGAGCTACACACTAAATATACTCCTCAAGTATGATGCCAGATGCTTTTATTATTTAGGTTTTTTTTAATTTAAAAAGTGCTCTTGCAAAGCAGAAAACATAAGGCCGTTTTTGAAAGGCTACCACATCCGAAACACTACAGCTGGTTAGATGATAAAATTTGAAGACAATTCCTCATTCTCTAGTTCATCATTTATAATACTCACTGTACTCCTTGTTCTGTAAAAGGTGTTGGACCACAGATGCAGATAAGCACTTTGGAGTCTTTTCTGCTTCTTTTCATCAACTCACAGAGAAGAGATGAAGAAATCTTCCCCTGTTTACCCACCCAGTCCTCTGTTGGTTGTGAAAGAACGAACTGAACGTCAAACCTAGTAAACAGAAGAATATTTCTTAAGTATTGGCTCTGATTAGAAATCTGCTACACAAAATGCTAGTGACAGAGACATTGACACTTCCTTTCCTGTACTGCTGAGCTCCCACTGCACAGTATCAGTTCTCACAGACATTTAGTTTTTCCTACCAATCAAGTCAATCACCCACCCCCAGTATTGTGTATTTAATTAACCCAATCCTTCAATCTTCAAAATTTTGCTGCATATTTCACCTTACTAAGAAAACCAGGTAGTACCAATTAAGATACTTAAGCACATATTTTACTGTTTCGTTGGTCACTTAGACAAATGTTGGTGTAGCTCAATACACAAGCAGTGAAATAAAAATGGTAGAGTGGTTAGGGTTGGAAGGGACCTTAAAGACCATCCAGTTCCAACCCCCCTGCCATGGGCAGGGACACCTCCCACTAGACCAGGTTGCTCAAAGCCTCATCCAGCCTGGCCTTGAACGCTTCCAGGGATGGGGCACCCACAGCTTCTCTGGGCACCCTGTACCTTACCACCCTCTCCGGCAAGAATTTAATGCTTAGCCAAACTTATGAAAACGTCAGTACAATTTCATTAATGAGAAGATACTGTAACTTGTTTAAAAAACTAACAGAGTAGTTATTGGTTAAAAACCCCAAATACTTGTGTTTCTGAGGCTCCTCAGGGAAAAAGGGAGAAAGGGTTTTTACTATAAATTTGCACAATGCAAATCTACGCAGCATCACCAGGTTATGAAATAATATTGATTTTTCACTTCAATGTTGTGAAGAAACAAGTGAAATTAATTTGTCCATACAATTTCAACTAAGAATTAAGTCAGCATAGACAAAACTTACTTCTATCACATAAAATCTAGGCAGTGGCAATTATCTAGTGATGAAAACCAGGGTACTGAAATTAAAAGGCAACCTGATATTCCTACGTCTCCTGACAGAACCATGGCCTGCTAAACCAAGTTGACATTACATGTGCACTAGTGCATTTTAATCTGCAATTACACTGCAATTGAGGGAAAAAATGCAACAATTAGACAGTAAATAAAAATGAAAGTAACAGGCTTAATTTAAACTTTGAATTTCTAGATAAACATTTTTTCAGCTAAGTGACACCGAGGTGACTTTTCAAGACTTCTTTAAATTAGGATGTTGGTCTGAGGGTACACTGTCCTTCTCTGTCACTTCTGTGCTTCTCTTTGCTTACCTGTATTTTGTATTGCTTAGTCGCATTTCATTTGCCTTCAAAAAGCTCCTCAGACAGGCTTAATCATCTCATTGAACATATCACCTCCCATAATTATGTATTAAACACTCTCAAATCAAATCCCTGGCCTCCTATGGGACCTATAGAACACAACAACATAATCCTGCTGCTAAGCATCTCCTTCCTCCATAAACACATTTCCTTCAACTCCCTAGGTCCCATTAAATTCTTAGCTAACAGAATCAGGATCTGTCTTCATGCCAAAGCTGTACAGTTAGTCTAGGCCCCAAGACCTGTTCTCCTATACACTGGGATGGTACAAGTTGTTCTCTTTAAGACTTTTAAATACCTTTCATCTTTAAGAGCTAATTGCTCTAGCTGGTTTCTCCAAAGAATGTCATCTTCTGTTTTGTTGAAGAAGATCAGCTTCGCTGTCCTTAAAAGAAAAAAATAAAGTAACTGCAGATTGTTTATTTATTTGAAACACATGTTAAAGACTCAGAACTTACTGCATTATACAGAAGCCTTTTACTTACTTTTTGGTTTTTTGGTTTGGTTTTTTTTTTGCACCTCTGCATCCTCAATCTTTTTGCCACTAACCCAATACAGCTTCTTTCTTGCTGTATCTGAAAGTCTGTTGGGCTTCTGACCTCTCTTCTCAATGTCATAACCCTGTCTGCAGTTGCAACCTCTAGTTCAGGAACTGCTGTCATAGGAAAAATAAAGTCCCCGAAGTTATTAAGACCTGACTGAAATTACAAGATAGCTTGTCACGTTTTATCTAGTGGCTTCTCAATATTGTTTGAGCACTACTGCTTCAATTAATAGCTGTCATGTGAACTCTGTACACCTTTTTAATATTACATACACCAGCCTGTACAGGTGAAACTGGAATTTCAAGAAGGTTACATCAATATTCATTTCATACAGATGGAATCTAAACACATAGAAGTAAAAGACAATTAACTCATAAATTGAAGAGCAAACTACAGTTCTGTCCTAGGTTATCTTATTCCTACTTCATTTGTTGATTTATAAAATCTATTTACCTGGAAAGCTAAGGTTGATGAGCATTATACTTGCCGGTTAATTAACATAAAAAAATGAATGCTCTGTCATTAAGGTCAGCACTATTGCCTTTTCAGATTTTTATGCTACAGCTGAGCTAAACCACAAAAACCCCTGACTTTACAAAACAGAATTTACATTTGATGAAGCCATATAAACCTAACTTTTCCTTTTTTTGCTAATGACAGACTAATACCTTGGGGACAACCGATATAAGACACATGATGTGCTCTTAAATTCACACGGTTCCTGAACTGCACCCCACAGGGCTTTAAACGACTGTTGTTTTTTCTACTCAGGCACAGCTCTGAGCAGAGAGCATGTTACTGTGGTGCTAGAAGCAGTAAGTTCAGTGCCCTACTTGCAGAAAGCTGGACCACCAGGATGCCTGGCACAGAAACACATGCAGAACCGCATGGGTAGCTGTCAGCTAAGCCTGCTGGTCCTGCACATCGGTGTCCTGCAATTCCAGTTCCCTAACATGGCACTCCACTAGTCAGTGTCCCTTTTACATGTGGCCGACCTTGCTTCTAAGGGACTAGCGCTAGACACAGTCTGTTTATACGATGCTGTGCTCAAACTATTAACTCCCTGCAACTTGCAGAGAGTCATCTGCTCTCTGTGGAACCCTCAACATCAGAAGGATATAGACCAGCTGGAGTGAGTCCAGAGGAGGTCACGAAGATGCTCAGAGGGCTGGAGCAGATCTGATATGGGGACAGGCTGAGAGAGTTGGGCTTGTTCAGCCTGGAGAAGAGAAGGCTCCAAGGAGACCTTATTGCAGCCTTCCAGTGCCTGAAGGGGCTGACAAGGAAGCTGGGAGGGGACTTACGATTATACGATTCTATCTCTCACAGAAGTGCATCACATACACTACGGCTTCTGCAGAGAGTTCATGACCTCCGGCAGTTCTTCACTGCCATTTAAAAGCATACATTCTCCCAGGCTGAAGTTAACCCATTTGAACAACTTCTGACCTTTTCCCTTTTGCAGTTTGGTAGCGCTTCAAGATACCAGAAAATATCTTACAAGCTGTATAAAATGCCAAATATAAGACATCACAATTTAATTATGAGAAGCACATTCATTTTCTGCTGCCAAACTATAAATTTGAGATACGACCATTGTATTAATACACATCATCAGTAGTGTTATTGAGAGAGAGAAGTTCCAGATGCATCACAACCCCAAATAAGTTACAATGTACAAGATTTGGAAAACTTGCCTGGTGTAGAACAAAACAGCCCATATCATCTATGCTGCATCTTTAAATACTAAAATCACCTTATTCAGAAGTTAGCACATGCCAAAAATCTAGGTTCCTTACCTCCCTGACAACAAGGAAAATAAAGCTCACTTCAAGAATGTAGTGCTGTCAAAGTCTGCATGGTGCACAACAGCATCAAGTGTTACTTTGGTGGGGAACAAAGCCAATAGAGACTTCCCTGCCCAAGGCAGGGGGTTGAACTAGATGATCTTTAAGGTCCTTTCCAACCTAAACAGTTGTATGACTCTAAAAAGTGCATAGGAAAGCCATGCATTTTGTTCATTGGGCACACAGGCAAAAATAGGTTACTTGGAGAATAATCTTTTGAGACACCGTTACTGATACTCCCCAGTGTAGATAAATATATCTGGTGCAGTACTGCTCAGTACTCGGCACTATAAAGAGAATAGAAAACCGTAGAAGAATGAACTGGTAACAGTTTTGCTAGAGATGAGGGAGAAAACATCTAAATCTCCACCTCTTCCTTTTAGCTATGAAACCCTTCAGTACAGAAAAGCTGGTTGAGAGAATGATGACAGCAGTTTAGATAACAAATGAGAAACTTCCTCAGTCTTCTGGAAAAAAAGGAGAATCTAACATAATGAAAACTACTTCAAGGGATGTAGATTTCAATAAACTCAAAAAAACCTGGTATGTAAGGTCTTACGGAAAGGTGTATGGACAGAGGAGTTAGAGACCGTAGGGGATTTTAACACAGAGGAAGGAGAGGTAGAAAAAGTTATAAAAATCACCTTCAAAACAAGAGTGATGCTGAAAGTGGGACATTACATGAAAAGTGAATATGAGAACAGAATGGTAATTCAGAAATGAAAAGCTGGAGACAAAACTAGATACAACTACCAAGGAGAATCAAGAATAGAATACAAGAATCCTATATTTACTTGAGAATAGCATTAGCCCTCTACCTAGTGTTTAGTGCCTTAGTCTTCCTTAAGAAATGTATCCACCTGACTGCAGTTATACAACACCAGTAAAAAAAACCACAAACTAATCTTGGAAAGGAAAAAACAGCATAGAGGACTGATATTCTTTTTAAATTAATACATTGGCCAAACACAATTTGGCCTGTAAGAGAAGAAACAAGGCTGAAGGAAGAGCATTATGACTTCATGCACAAAAGGATACTGCAGACAGGAAGCGAACAACTTGTTTTCCACATTTACTGTAGGCAAGAAATAACAGATTTAAAAGGTAATAGGGATGCTCTGGCTAGAGAGTAAGAATGGAAATCTAATGATCCAGTCCTGTTCATATGATCACAGCAAGTGCTGCCTAGGGAAGCTGGGCATTCTCCAGCATTCTGAGTGCAGCCTTGGAGGTTCTGCAGCACTCGCTCAGCATTACAGAGAGAGGCGGCTTCTGCACCCCCAGGTGACAAGTCGGTCACGATTCAGGTCCTTCTTCAACTTCCTGCAATTTGCCTTCCAGTCTGTGCAATCCGAGTTTGCGGCAATCATTATTCTTCAGTAAGGTAATTTTATGCTAATTACATTTATTTTGGTTTTATGTAATCCCATTTATACAAATAGTATATATAATACATATATACACATACATATTAAAGGCCCTCTTGTAATATTTTCCCAAAAGAGAAAGCGAGGGTTAAAAAGCAAATAAGGCCAAGAAACTGTCACCTAGAGTAGTCAAAAAATCATGAAGCTTTAAGTGTCTGCATATAAACACAGCCTGTACCAGGTCCAGTCACTCCAGCGCCTCACAGGCCTCCATGGCAAGAAGGAAAAACTCATTGGCTTCGACTAGTAAGAAAACGGATGTTGCTGCATCCTAAGCTAACTGTGAGCACTGAGTTCCCATAAGAACAGTTACACTTTTATGCAAACGGGAGCTCATCTGGTAAAAATGTGTTAGTGCAGGTTAGCAGGTGAAAATAATGTAAAAGTCTGCTAGGTATTTTAACAGATTGAAGAGAAGCCATAACTAAACAGCTGTAAACCTCCTCAGTCCAAAAACCCAGTATTTACACTGAAATACTTCAATGCTAATAAAAGGCACTCAAATGCAAAGTTTGTTGAAAAATAAAACAAAACACCACCTTCCCCTTCCCCCAAGTGTCTATAGGTGACCCCCTTTGTACCACAATTAAAGTCCAAAATGCAAATCAGTCCCTTTTGTGGATGGCAGCCAATAACCAAGTATGTGTAAGTTCCCTAAGACGCTGACAGACTCTTCCCTAAAGCATGCCAACCTCTGGCATAAGTTGAAGTAAAATGCTTTCATAGCATTTTCTTTTGTTAATTGCTTTATTGACACTGAGGCTTGCCCATTTTGCTACATCCTTCTTGTGGATTGCTCTAGCCTGGGGTTAAACCATAAGCAGTGTACGTACCGGAGGCAACTAACTGCAGCCAGAGCAAAATTCAGCAGTTTAACCATTGGTGTGAAGCCTGTGCCTGCTGCCAATAAAAAAAGTTCTTCTGAAGTTTGAACCTGTGACTTCTTGAAGTTACCTTCAGGGTTGCTCACAGAAATATAGTCTCCTTTATTTAAGAGAGGAAAAAAGAATGGTAAACATTAATGAGATGAAACCAAGCTAATTATTGTTCTGGTTTTCTTTAAAGGCCCTTTCATAATTGCCTTCACCTTTGTAGTATTAGGCTTACTTTCAGAAAGGTACTATACATTTCACACAAGGATCATTCTTGCTAAAAGAACTGATGTTCAATTAAAATGTCTTGATGGATTTTACACTGTATGAGTACATAAACATTTGCAAAGTCAGTGTTAAAAATCTCCCTCCATATCTAAAACAGAAAAGGAAATGTGTTCTAAGTCTAATAAAACAGACCTCGCTTTCTTTATTCAAAAGTACAAAACTTGTTCTAAATGTGTATACAATCAAAATACAATCAACCATAATGTGTGACACAGCTGACATAGCTGAACAGTTAAAGATGAACACATTTGGATGATCGGTCAGGAGAGCTTTATGTAATGAGCAGCTCCAAGTTACACTGAGGATAAGCCATTTAGGGCATGGAGAATAAGGTTTAAACACCATCGTAAGTATGCCCCCCAGTGTGTAAGTAGGTAAACAGTAAGAACATCACAATGCCCAGACAGTGAATCTGAAAAGATAATGCAATCACTGCAAAACCAAACACAAACCCCACCCCCAACATATACGTACCGATTTGTAGGTGGTCAAATGCCTGTGTGAACAGTCCACAGAAATAAATTTTAATCATTAAATATATATGTGCACCATCATGGTGAGATGGTTCTTTGAAATCCAAGAAAGGCAATACAGGTGTGTATGGTTTTACTACCTCCGTCCCTAGATAGAAGACAAAAAGGTAGCTGAAATAACATGAAAAAACCTCTAAATCTAGTAAATGTACTGCAAACATACCAAAAAGAACAGGCAATAAACAAATAATCTTCATATCCCATAAAAGTAACACCATCACATGCTTTTATGCAAGTATGTTACTTTCCATTGCACCAGTTGTTAACACAGTAGCCTTCCACTTCCAGGCTACCATACAGTACAATATTTCTACACTACTTAGCAATTCAAAACACTGGAAGAGAAGATCTAGAGTCATCCCCAAAGAACATCAAAAACTGAAAATTTGCATTTAATATCAAGTACCACAGCCTGATTTTTTCTTAATTGAAATAGCAGATGTTTAGTACTGTGCGATTATATTTTCTTCTACTATCATTTCAAAAAGCTATTGTATAATGATAGAAAGAAAGATTGCAAAAGTTGGACACCAGCAAAGAATTAGGTAGGGAGGAGGACTAAATGGTTCACAGTTAAAGGAGACTTAAACATTCTTCTGAAATCTTCCTGCCTTACATACTGCAATGCAACTACAGTGACCAGAATTACCTTTGATGAGAAAATTTCTTGAAGCACCCTCAAAAAAAAAAAAACCCACCCAAATCAAACATATTTCTTTGACCTCCCATTTTATTTTTTATGTTTGTGTTTTACAAAATTTGGAAGAATAGAAACAGGTTGCCCAGAGAAGCTGTGGCTGCCTCATCCCTGTCTGTCTTCAAGGCCAGGCTGGATGAGGCTTTGAGCAACCTGGTCTAGTGGAAGGTGTCCCTGCCCATGGCAGGGGGGTTGGAACTAGATGGTCTTTAAGGTCCCTTCCAACCCAAACCGTTCTGTGATTCTATGATTCTATGAATAGTGCTTAATCTATGTTTCTCAAGATGAATTCCTCTCTCAACCTCATGTTATCATTAATATCGTGCAACTAGAGTGTATAGTAGTGCTACATGACTATAAATCCCTCAGAAGAAGAAAAAAACCAACCAAAGCAAAATTGCAACATTACCTACACGCGCTAAAAAAAGCAGCAAACTAAAAAGAACTGACTAATCATACCGAACCCACATAATGAGCTCTACCCCCTTCAAAGATGAACAGCACGACTTTGAGAGAGAATGGTTTAAAGGGAGAGTTGAAAGGAAAGCTGATAAGGTCAACAGTAGTGCCAGCCACCTTTCCAGGAGTACTAATCCAGGTAACTGATGATTAAGCACTGACTGTGATCCTGGAAGCAGAGACCTTCTAGCTACAACCAGGGAATTAGTGGCCATGGACTTAGCATTCGCCCAAGACTATGAAAAGGGATTTATGTTAATATATCCACAGCTACATTCTCAGTCTTTCTTACCTGTAATGATTTGTTTGAGGTAAACATGTTGTCCAGTGGGAACACGGAGATGTGTGCTCTTAGGCAACATTAAGCAGAAGAGCTTGGTGTCGTGGGTAACTTCTGTCTTAGAAACCAACTTGCATTTTCTGTAGAACAGTCCTAAAAACATGGTTTTACTTGTTACTTAAGTCTCAATCTGTCTTTCTATTCTTATGCATCTTATATTAAAAGAGACAGAGAAAAGTATGTATTTCGCTCTGTAGAGTTATAAAAACACTGTGAACAGGTGCTTCTTGTATCATTACATATAATTATTTAATTTTGGACTAAGGGCTCACTTATAGCCTTACATTAGACCTTCTTACAAGAGACTGAATCTCTAAGTTACCAGCATTGACTGGGAAGAAGTAGAAAACCATCAAATACTAGCAGAAAGCAGACTCCCCTGTACTAAATTTGCCGTACCACTAGAACACATATATGAAGACTACAAGCAGTTTGGTTAATGCAAATGAAACACAGGCTAGGCACAGCAACACAGTCTTCCAGAACAGACTAAACCCATCCAGGATCCCAGACAGCTATTGGGCTGACCATCCTGCACTGCTGCAGCTTCACTGCTATTAGCACAAGGAGAATTGCTGACACAGCCTGGCACAGTTTTTCAGGTACACAATACAAATACTTAAATGCTTACCCATGACAAAATGAAATGAACATCTGTGCCTACATAGGCAATGAACACTTTAGCACTTTCAATAAATATTTTAGACATGAATCGGTGCCTTTTGGCTAACTAGAAATTACGAACTCCAGTTATATGTTCACATGCTTACTTAAATCAATTTCGTGGTCATATCAATTTTTGTTGATACAGCTGGTGAGGACGTGGGTTTCAAATACAGTGCTTTTCAACTTGGGCATCAAATAAAAGCTGTGTAAAAGGTAACTTAAAAAAATGAAAGCATAAAAAACTATGCAAGGTCTGCACTTAGATGAAAATTCTTCAAGACATGGATAAGAGCACGTCTTGATCAGAATACCTATAAAACACTGTGTACATTCCTATTAACAATGGGGATAAAAGACAATGGGGGAAAAAGGAAGGAACACCCCAGAATATTTAGCTTTTTGGGGACAAAAGGCACATAAATTATACCAGTTTCACCAACACCTTATGGAAGCTCCAAGTAATGTGTTTTCCCTATACCCCCAGTAGGCTCAGAGCAAGACAGGGCACTTCTCTGCCTCTGCTACGGCAGCAGCAACAGCTGATCACGTACACTGGAAATGATCTCCGTGGCAGAGCGCTTGGGATAAGGCTGGCTTTTTAACTCAGCAGCCAGACGGATCCATGTAATCCGCATCACTGCACCACTTCACTGTCTACCAGAGGGTTTGAAAACACAACAAAATAGAGGGTTGTGCACTGCTGATTGCAACCAGGGACTGCAGAAACCAAGTAGGGGTGAAGCAGCAAGGAAGAAGTACTTGAAAAAACAACAGGCAGGGATGCAGAAACAACCACTTGGTAGCCTTCGGTCTGGAATGAAACATGCTTACAAAGGTTATTTTAGCAGCAAATGCCAAATGCAGGAAGGTTGTTCCTCAGCACTCAACAATAATATTCTATTAACTGATACGGGCCTGTTGCCATTGCACAACAGGTTACTGTTAGCCTACTTGGGAACAACTGTCCCAGCTTTCCTAAAACACAGATAGGAATAACAATTGCTGCTCAAGGCGATCAACAGTATATTGTAGAAATCCAGATACAAAACCAGAGGTGTAAACTGAAGATGACCAGAAGACCTTTTTCATCTTCTACCTTTAGAAGAATGCTTTCCAGCTAAGCCTTTGTTTCAGCTCTAAGCTGAAATATCAGCATGATGACAGTACCACACTGTCTAAATAGGTCTGTAACTTAAGGGAAGTTTCATGGGTTGTAAGATATTACAAGCTCAGCCCAGCATAGAAAAACACACCTAACAAAAAAAACAAAGCAAGCAACAAAATTCCATGAGCAGCACAATCTGATCTTCATGCTTCCAAAAAAAAAGCCAGAAAGAAGCAGCCTCTTCCCTACAATAATCCCACCATGTCATTTATCATTTTCAGTGTTAAATTTGTAACCAGTTGCAGTGAATATTTTCATGTAAAGCCTCTCAAAATTTGAGAGGTTCATCCATGAGAACACTTGAGCGTGACCCCTAACAACTCCTTCTGCACTGAAGCAATTTCAGTGAAGCAATGTTTCTTCCCTCCTCTTTTTCTCGTGTTATTGAAAAACACCCAAGTCACCAGGATAAATAGCTGAGCTACTCATGAAACATAGGATGAGAGGCAAAGGACACAAGGTGCAACTCTGGAAATTCCAACTGGGCATCAGCATGAGGATGGTGTGTTCAAACACTGGGGCCAGCTGCCCAGAGCCTCTATCCTTGGATATTCAAACCTTGTCCGGACAGCTTTGAGCAGGAGGTTAAACCAGATGACTTCCAGAGGGCACTTTCAACTAATTTAGTCCATGATTCTAATACTCTTTAGGTCTTAACAGTCAGAAGTAGAAGCACTTTGACCCTTTTTTGTATCTTGCTACTGCACCAGCAGATGCTTCTTTAGTTCCTGACTTTAAACACATGCCGATTCTCTTCTCAACAGAAATGGGCTACCAGAAAATCCGTACAAAGTGTACATCACTTGTACATGGCCTCAATCCTGCAGCTGGCCAAAATTCTCTCCTGAGTCAATAACTCTTCTTAAGCAAGTGTTGCTTGACAGAGGCTTTATGCAAGTTTCCAGCGAATACTTCACTCAATTGAAGACAAAACGTAAAGGGAATTCCAGGCATCGCTGCAGCTCAAGTGACCGCTGCCATTGCTTCCCCACTCTTACCACAACAGCACCACTAAAGGGAAGCTCAAGCCATTAAGGCTGGCTGAACATTATTCTTAACTAGGGCTACAGTTCAAGAACAGACACCAACTGCTGGATTTAAAAAGAAAAAAGCTTTAAGAGGGTCTCAGTAAACTAGCCTGTCCATTCTCCTTCCCCAGTGTTCTCTAAGAGTCATTTGAGGACCCCTTGGAATATTTCAGTAATTCCATCTAATGAATCACTGTTTTCCAAGTAACTTATCTATACTGCAGTTCCTTACTGCAGCATTGTTATCCAAACATTTTGATATTCCCAGATATTCTGGATTAAAAACCCAGCCAGAGAGTTCAAGACAGCTGGAGACTAGTTACAGAGTATGCTGTGACAGTGCAGTCAATTGCTGCCTGAAGGAACTGCCATCCATCACTATTAACATTCCCTTCTTCAGTAAGTACAGGATCTCAGTCCATCAGTTCAACCACAACAGAAACAGAAGGATTTTTAATACAGAAAGACTTTCAAACAAACAATATTTGTCCACAAAATGCTTAAAAGTTAAAGACTTAAACGATGATCCAGCTCAGCCATGCTTCCTTCTAACTGGCGTTATTTCCAAGGGTATAAATAAACATTGCTGGAAGGATCAAGTATCTAAATACATGTAGTTATGCCCGGAAATATACATTCAGGGAATTAAATCTCAGCTGCATGTGCAATTCGTGCAGGGGCTAAATTAGTATCAAATTCATGACCTACCACTACTGCCACAGCAGGTGGCCATGGCATTTTTCTGCATACACTTGTTTTCCTAAATTATTCAAATACCTACGAGTGAGTTATCCACTACAAATGCCTGCAGAGATGTGATGAAAAGGCTCTCACATGGAATAAATCTTTCATTAATATTTTCTCACATCTTAGAATCATAGAATGGTTTGGGTTGGAGGGACCTTAAAGATCATCCCGTTCCAAACCCCCTGCCATGGGCAGGGACACCTTCCACTAGACCAGGTTGCTCAAAGCCTCATCCAGCCTGGCCTTGAGGACAGTCAGGGATGGGGCATCCACAGCTTCTCTCTAGTCTTTCATCTAACATCCTACAAATTGCTTATTTTGAATGAGCAAACATTTCATATGTACCAAAAAATGTCTACAGCCCTGAAAAATGAAAGGCAGTAATTCCATTTCATACCAGTCTTGAAGTAAAGCAAAACATCATCAGCTCTCTGGTTACATAAAAGAAATTTTATAAGTAGTTTGTTGTAATTTGGTTTTCTGCCATTCTTTTAAAAAACAATACCTACTGAGACTGCAGAGTAAAGTATACAAATAAACATGCTAAGAGTGCTGTCCATTCTTCAGACTTAAGAACTACTTGAAATATGTGGGAGGCTGGTAATATATCCCACAATACTGATCAGCTAACACTCTTCAAGATATTTGGGAGTGGAGAGAGAAGTCAAACTGATTCATCAACTGATTCACTGTTTCCCGACAATTTTCTGACCTTTCCAACCTGTCAAATTCCAACCTTTCCCACATGTAACGAACTAACCTTTACCTCCCACTTTTCTTCTTAATTTGCCACACAGAACTTTTGTACGAATTCACTCAATCCGATTTTTGAAATCAAGAGACCTATCTAAGTCTAAGCAGACTCCTGGTTCAGGCTGTCCTCTTTGCTACATTAAATAAGTTCATTATCAGTGGTCCCAATAAAATTTGGAGCTGCAAGCAAAAAATTGGCAATACAGAAAAGCCTTTCAACAAGGGAACACCAGCCTCTAGTAGCAAGGTTTTGGCAACCCACAAAGCCAGCTTAGCTGCCAGATGCCAAAGACATAGGAATTGCTGCTATACATAAGCAAAAGGCACCTCACTCTCAATTCTGAAGCATGATGCAAGTGCCCAAGAGCAATTCCTCATTTTCAAAGTAGAAAAAACAATTAGGGAGAAGGCTAAGTTTGACCAAACTTCCCGCAGACATCGAGAGCCAGCGTCACAGTTCCCAGGATCTTCACAGAGAATCCATCCCAGCATCCACCCCACTACCAAACTCCTGCCACATAAACCCAAAACAATCACAGGCCTGAGAGGTCCCTCTCTAAACTGAACTTTCTCCTCTGCTGGGATCAAGGACTACAGTAGCTTGACTCATGCACAAAAGATGAGTTTTATAGCAAAACTGCTTCACAGATAATGATACTTTCCAGAGAGTATCATCCTTGCACCTGCTGTGTTCTTCCTCATTATGCAAGGGATTTTAATTTTACGAATTTTTC